TCTCCCTATTTTAAGGTTACCTGATTAAGAGCCTTAATTCTGTTTGGAAGTTTCCTAACACTAGGAAACTTTTGTATAACTAAAGAACAAAAATCTTGGAACACTCTGGAATTAGAATAGGGATATTAGTCAGGGGTTGGGCTTAGTGCTTAAGTATTTAACTATCATGTATGAGGCCCTGGAGTCAGTCCTTGGCACTGTAACAACAGGAAAGGGAATGATTAGCCTGATTTAAGTGAACCCAATCTAATCATATGAATTCTGAAAAAAAAAATCCTGGTATTGGGAGAAATATGGTAGAAATAGAAGTTTAAAAAATGAATAATGAGAAATTTTCAATATGCTTTTGTTGGCTTCAAGATACAGGAACCTATGATCAAGGACTAAAGATATACCTGTAGTATTTAAGGACAGTCCCCAACTAACAACACAGAAACAGAGACCTTAGTTGCGCTTGGGTCTTCCAACACCTGGAATGAATGAGCTTGTAAACAGATTTTACTTAGAATTTCCTGATGATAAACAACTTGACTTTGCGGCTGAGCAGATTTCATGAATTCACGGAGAAGGAAGCAGCAATCACAGGGCAAGAACGGGTCTGCATGCGGTCCTCTGTATATACACTATAGCTTTCAGTTTAGTAATTTTATGGGTCTCTTGACTGTGGGAAGAAGTAAATCTCTAATTCTTGTGCCTTTTCTTGCAGCTCCTTTATTTTTCTTTTGGCTTGGCTTGTCCAGCCTCAGTATGATGGTTTTTTGTTTTATTATATTTTATTTTGTTATGTTTTGATATCATTCCTAGAAGCCTGTTCTTTTCTAATAAGAGATAGAAAGGGATGGATCCAGGTGGGAGGGGATGTGGGGAGAAATTTGGAGGTGGGGGGAACTCTAATCAGATTATATTGTATGAGAAAAGAATCTATATTTAATAAAAGGGGGGAAACAAACATGATTTTGGTCTGCTGAGATTCTAAAATCCAATTATGACCATTTGTCATAGAGAACTGTGAGACAGTTGATACTGTAAAAGATACTAATGAAGTCACTCCAGCATTCTTTTGGATAATATACCTGTTTGGTATACCCGTCTCCATCTTTTTGCTTTTAATTTATCTAACTTTATACTTACATGGGTTTCTTTTTTAACTTTGCTTATTGTTTGTGGCTTTCACATCATGCATCCTGATTCTGTTCATCTCCCCGTCCTTTGGTATCCTCCCTCTGCCCTTGAACAGCCCCCCCCCCCATAAGATAAAATTTAAGAGAAAAGAAAAAAGAGAAAAACTATCATCAGGAAGCTGTAGTGTTACACAGTGACTCCCAGAATATATACCCTTCAGCCCATACATCTTTACTTGCAAATGTTCAGTGCAAAGTCATTGGTCTGATTCAAAGCCTCTGGTTTCTGCTATACTATTCATACTGGGCCCTCACTTGGACTCCTCTTAGGTATCCTGTTGTCCTGTGTCATAAGATTCTGCAGCTTTGGCTCTGCAGGAACGGCCCCTTCAAGTGCTCCTGCAGATAATACATGGGGTGAATGGTGGAGTGGGCTAATACATAGTGTTGGTTCTGTGTCTGGTGGTTGCACCGTTAGTCAGCCCTTCAGCTCTCACCGATCCTTAGCACCAGGTGAGCTCTATCACTGCTCCACCTAGTTCACCCTATGCAGCAAGGAGCAAGGGCTGGGGCTGGTTCTCCTGCTTTCAAGTCCTCTGGGCTAGCTCACCCACACCTACACAACCAGGGCCAGCTCTACTCTGTTGCACAGGTGCAGGAGCCACTCTCCTGAGTACTACAGCCAGTGAGGGGCAGGGACAGCTCTCCCACTCTCATGACCTCAGAGCCAGCTCTCCTGCCTGCCACAGATGGTGAAGGGGGTGGGGTGGAAGACCATTTCTCCCTCACTGGTCACCCCACCATATGGCAGATGAGGGGTGGGGCTAGGTCTCCCACACTCCTGTTCTCCTGGCAGTTCACCTGAGCCAAGTCAACAGGGTCAGCTCTGCTATGCTGTCCAGGTAAGGTACAGGGCCCACTTCCCTGAGTGATGCAGCTAGGGGGCTAGGAGGAGGAGGGTGTAAGCAGAGACTGCTTGTTTGTTTCCCAGCCACTCGAATGATCACACAGAAACTATATTAATTACAACACTGTTTGGTCAATGATTCAGGCATATTTCTAGCTATCTCTTATATCTTGAATTAACTCATTTCTATTAATCATCTATCCGCTTGAGGCTGTGGCTTACTGGTAAGGATCCAGTGTCTGTCTCCTTTGGCAGCTACATGGCACCTCCCTAACTCTGCCTACTCTCTCTCTCTCTCTCTCTCTCTCTCTCTCTCTCTCTCTCTCTCTCTCTCTCTCTCTCTCTCTCTCTTTCTCTGTGTGTGTGTGTGTGTGTATATATATATATATATATATATATATATATATATATATATATATAAAAATTCCCACCTGGCTTTGCTCTGCTAAGCCCTAGACTAAAACAGCTTTATTCACTAACCAATAAAAGTAACACATATACAAAAGGACATCCCACATCAGGAGGTCATCTTTCCCTCAGCACCACATAGCAGATGAGGGTTGGGGCCAGATCTCCCACACTCATATTCTCTGCTGCTCACTCCCCACCCGCTGCTTCCTTCACTCCCCCCACCCTTGTCATCAGGGTCAACTCTATTTTACTGCTAAGGCAAGATGTAGGACCTGTTCTCTGGAGTGCTGCAGCAGGTAACAGGCAGGGCCAATTCTCCCTAGTGTTGCAGCCATTGAGTGGCATGACCAACTATCCTCTTGGCCTTTGGTGCCATCTGTCTATCTATCTATCCACCCATCCATCTATCTAGGTTTTTTGAAACAGAGTTTCTCTGTATAGCAGTCCTGGAACTCAACTCTGTGGACCAGGCTGGCCTCACTTAAAGAGATCCACCTGTCTTCCTGCTACAGCCTACAAACTACCTCCTGTCAGTAAACCCTGGCAATGCTGCTTTTGTCCTCTTTGTTACTTTTCCTAGTTCCTTCTGTTCTTCACTGCCTGTTGCCAAACTGTTGTATATTTTGTTCAGTTCCTTTTTTTATGCTGGGGAGATAATTTTTAAATTTGATTAGCTATGTTGATTATACTAAATAATGGGTTTCTTTATGGCATTTTCACATGTATATAATGCATTTTTTTAAAACTCATATTCACTCGCCATTGGCCCTTCCTGTTCATTTCCCACCCCCACAGATCTTCCGCATTTTCATGTCTTTATTTATTTTAGTGTGCCACTGGGTTTCATTAGGGTCACTTACAGACTCCTGGGGGAGGGATTATTTTCAGAAACATAGACTCCTTATCAGTGACTATGCCACTGAAGGAAGTATCTTTCCTTTCCCCAGGGGCCACTAACTACCTGTAGTCAGCAAATGGTGGGGCCTCACGAGGTACTGGGGACAGGAAAGGTAAATCTTAGTCCTGTTTTTATATCAAGGCTAGAAGTAGATGTGCTTGACAATGTAATATCATATTATTTCGAAGACATCTACCAAAGTCTTTTCTATTTGTGACATGAGTATGTGTATATATAGATGTATCTGTAATTTACTCAGGCATTTAAAGTAATATATATTATTTTAAATATGTGCGCCATATGAATATGACAGATAACTGCTTTTTTTCCTTTTGTGTGTTTTTTGTTTGTTTTAAATATTTTTTATTTATGCATATGTGTATGTGTGTATGAAGGAATGCCACTAGTGTGGTTGTGCCTGTCTGGTCCACGGGAGTTGGAGTAATAGGCATTTGTGACCCATCTCCTGTCCATGCTGAGAAGTAAACTCAGGTCCTCTACAAAAGCAAGTAGTACTCTTAACTGCTGAGCCATCTCTGTAGCCCCCTTTGTTTTGTGTTTAAGATAGGGTTTCATGGGAGCTGGAGAAATGGCTCAGTGGTTAAGAGCACTGCCTGTTCTTCCAAAGGTCCTGTGTTCAATTCCCAGCAACCACATGGTGGCTCACAACCATCCGTAAGGAGATCTGGTGCCCTCTTCTGGCCTGCAGGCACATATGCAGACAGAATACTGACAATACTGTATACATAATAAATAAATAAATCTTTTTAAAAAAAGATAGGATTCCATGATATTTTGCAGGCTGGCTTGGAACTCACTATTTAGGCCAAGATGATCTGGAAGTCACAATGTTCCTCCTGCCTCAGCTACCTAAATGCTGGGATCACAGGTCTGAACCACCATACTTGGCTATTTTTATTTTTATCAGGACATTAATGTCCAAAGGGATACCTTTATGAGAATAGAATCAAATAGTCAATGACAGAGCTTGACTTTCCCCCACTCTCCATGTTGTGGTAAAACTAGCTCCTTCTGTTTGGCATGCTTCCTCATCTAATTTGTTTGTCTGTCTAACAAACCTCCAGTTACCTCTGAAGTTCTGTGGTCACCATGTCTCTTCTTCCTACTACCTCAGCCAGATCCCATACTTTCTTTTTCTAGCCGCCTTCTCACCATTTACACAAATATTACACTGCATCTTAATCATGCCTTTCTGTATACAGATTCTATCAGAAATTCTTTGGAAGCAGGAGACTTAATTACCTGCTTTTGTTTTCTTGTCCCCAACACAATGTCTTCTACATAGAACTTTTAAATAAATAATTGTTGAATTAGTGATTTTTAAATGTGTTATTTATTTTTATTTTATGTGTATGAGTATTTCGCCTGCATGTATGTATGTGCTCCCTGTGTGTGCAGGGCTTCAGAGGCCAGAAGAAGAGGTTGTACCCCCGGAACTGGAGATATAGATAGCAGTTAGCTGTCTTTTAAGTATTGGAAACTGAATTTGTGTCCTCTGGAAAAGCAGCCAATGGTCTTAACTATTGAACCATCTCTGCATCCCTGAATTAATGACTTTATGAACTGAAATATGTCTCTAATTCTCTTCATTATCAGCTGTTTATTAAAATGAGTTCTTTTTATCATTTTTCTTTTCTTCTAGTAAATTCCTCATTTATGCCTGTCTGCTGCTGTTCTCTGTGCTACTGGCCCTTCGTTTGGATGGAATCATTCAGTGGAGCTACTGGGCTGTCTTTGCTCCAATATGGTTGTGGAAGTTAATGGTCATTGTTGGAGCATCAGTAGGAACCGGAGTTTGGGCACGAAATCCTCAATATCGGTAATACTGCTTTATAAAACTCACTGGTCTATATCTTGAGAGAACAAAATCTTGGTGGTTCTCACCAAAGATGCCGTAAGGACAATTTCTTCCGATTCAAAGTTTTGTGAGTAGTGCAGTCCAGCAAACATGCTTGTTATTATAAAAAAAAAAATGTGTTAGTTTGGACGGTTTAGTGCCTAGATAGCCCAAAGATCCCAAATACAGAAATGTTATACCATAGCTGATTAAGAAACACAGAAATACTCTGTGTGTCTTCTCCAGTTTATTTTTAGATCTAGGGTTCATTTTCTCCTACTCTTCTAGTCCTGGAGTAAACTGGTAATGATGTCAGAGAGTGAGCTTGGTCCAAAGGCCATGAGTCCCTCAGATAGGAACTAGGGAATGAGATAAATTGAGAGTCAGGTGTTAAGAAAGGAGGCAGAGCTTTGGGGGGTCATGGAAGTGGAGGAAGCCTGGTGTGTCTGGATTCTATGGGAGCCTCTCCCTTTCCTTTTTCAGAGAAAAGAGAGGCAAGGGGAAGAAGTAGCGAGTGAGAGCATGAAGAAAAATGCAAAAGTTTCTGATAGAACAGCTAGGGAGGTAGACAGAGAGGCAAAGAGCTGCTTAAGGGAAAAAGGATAGAAGAAAGCCACTTCAGCTTTAAAGGTTCTTGATTATCAACTCTTTAAAAAAGCTAGGGACAAAAGCAAGTGGTGGTGGTGCATGTCTTTAATCACTCGGGAGGCCAAGGAAGGCAGATCTCTGAGTTGGAGGCTAGCCTGGTCTACAGAGTGAGTTCCAGGGTGGCCAGGGCTACACAGAAAAACCCTGTCTTGAAAAACAAAGAAACAAAAAAAGCTGTAGTTTAGACTGTGTGAAATGCATATCCTATAGGTATGTAGGACTTCTAAAGCTACACACTAAGAATCTTAGCAAATGAAGCATGTTCTTGTGTGAATGTTTCTTTTTTGTTTTGAGAATATAATATAATTTTTCAAGATTTTGTTTTTGTTTTTTGAGACAATTGTTTCACTGTGTAGCCCTGGCTGTCTTGGAACTCATTTTGTAGACCAGGCTGGCCTCAAACTCACAGAAATCCACCTGCCTCTGCCTTCCAAGTGCTGGGATTAAAGGTATGTGCCTCCACTGTGCAGCTATTTTGTATTTTTAATCATGTGCCTGTGTGAATGTGTGTCCCATGTGTGAGGGTACCAATGAAGGCCAGAAAAGGGTGATAGATGCCTAGGGCTGAGTTATGGGTGGTTGTGAGTGCTGGGGACTGAACTTCAGTCTTCTGGGAGAATAATTATAGGTGGTTGTGAGCCACCCATTGTGAGTGCTGGGGACTGAACTTCAGTCTTCTGGGAGAATAATTATAGGTGGTTGTGAGCCACCCATTGTGAGTGCTGGGGACTGAACTTCAGTCTTCTGGGAGAATAATAAGCACTCTTAACCATTGCACCATCTTTGTATATTTATCTCTTTTATGACAAAAATTTCACATCTCTATTATATGTTTCTCAAAAATAAATTAACTAATTGATACCTAAAAGTTATATGCCCCCTTTCTCTGTTTTGATATTTTCAAGTAAGGAAAGTAAAGAAGTTGTGTTTGTGGCTGGCTAGATGTATGTTATGCACAGGTACAGTCATCCCCTGTGACCATTAATCAGTAGTATGCCAGTGAGTTGTACAGGAATTACCTGCAACCTTCTTTCTTTTCTCTTTGTCCTAATTTCTAGAATACTTATCACCGATAGGACAAATGTGTCAGTAATGGTTATCTGTACTTTGAATGGAATTTTAGGCCTCTCAAATGCATTATATTTTCAATTTTAATTTATTAAAAGTTAATGTTTATACAGTTAATTGAACTTTGAGCACAACTTTAACTTTTTATTTTACAGTATATTATACTGGAATAAAGATTAATAAAAGAATTTTATTACTTTTTATTTGTGTTTTAAAGTAGCACCTAAGAAAATTGGTATATCTTCTTGAATTTAAACTATACCTGCAGATAAAACTAAAGTAATATTTATAGTATTACATGAAATATGGTGTGTATTGTTTTTAACTCAATGGAAAGGATCGTGAGACTTAAGAGATATCAGAACTTTTTTTACAACAGAAGTAGCTAATAGAATAATCTTGGAAGTGTCTCTTTATAGTTGAATTTAAAGTTATGAACATAAGTGGTTATGGAGATTTGAAAGATTGTCTATTAAAGATAGGTTCAAGTTAGCTCTCTATGTCATCTCCTCTGTGCTTTTTAATATTTAAAAGTTGAAAATCAGAATGTGAATTGAGTTGGTATTTGCTGTGGATTTTTTTCCTTGTACTGAGGATTCTGAATTGTATTTTTTCTTTCTTCTCTTTTCCTTCCATCCCCTTTTAGAGCAGAAGGAGAAACATGTGTGGAGTTTAAAGCCATGTTGATTGCTGTTGGCATCCATTTGCTCCTGCTGATGTTTGAAGTTCTGGTCTGTGACAGAATTGAAAGAGGAAGTCATTTCTGGCTTCTGGTCTTCATGCCATTGTTCTTTGTTTCCCCGGTATCTGTTGCAGCGTGTGTCTGGGGCTTTAGGCATGACAGGTCACTAGAGGTAAGATTTGTGTATTTAATCATCTTTTAAAATCTTACTCTAATGTCAGTCTCTTACCCTAGGTGAAGAACAGACTAATCCTTAACTCTGATTGTGGTTTACAGAGGAACAAATGTCTTCAGCTTTCTCCTAGCTTTCTATATTATAAGCTACCTGTGTCTATCAGTCTTGTGAAATAACCGAGAGGATTTACAGAGATACAGACACGAGAGCGATTTCAAGGAATGGATCCACATGGCTGTGGAGCTGGTATGAACAGACAGGAAGGCTGGGGACTCAGCAGGAGTTGACACTCCAGATTGGAGGCTGAATTTCTTCCTTTCCAGGAAACCTCAGACATTGCATTTAAAGCCTCCATTTGGATAAGGGTCACTTACCCTACAGTATTGAGAATAGTCACCTTTAAAAACTTGATGCTGTCACAGCAACACTTATCCTAGTATTTAATTAAATAACTGGTACAATAGTTCATCTGAATTGACACATAAAATTTAACTGTCTCACTATCTCATCCCCTATGATGTCACTTCTTAGCTGCCTTCTAGTTGGCTTGTCCCGATATGCCCATATGTTATTTAGTCTTTCAGCAAATTTTTTTCAAGTATCTATATACACAAGCCCTTTAGACCCAAGAAGAGGAGCTATAGAATTAAATAAAATACTAAGACTAATAATAGTGAAAACAGTTGTAGATGATATTTATAGTATTCTTAATCTGGGCCAAGCATTTGCATGGTCACCTCATAAATAGCAGCAGCATAGTAAATATTTACAACAACCTTGTGAGAGAGGTGCGGTTGTTTTCCTGAGAAGGATAGTTAAATGCCAGAGCATTTAACTACAAAGGAACTGAGGACACAAAGCAATGCACTAATAGATTTGGAGGACAGTGGGATGCGTTAGAAATCCTCCCACACATACTTCTCATCTGATATTTCATTTTCTGTGATTTTTAGCTGCTTGACGTCAACTTTGGTCTAAAAATGTAGTATAAAATAAGATGTTTGGGAGAAAAATTAGTGTACAATTAATAAAACCTCAGAGAAAGATATTGGGGTTCAACCTGAAGTTCAGAAAAGCAAAACAGCCAGCCACTGGCTCTTACCTTCTTACCTCTCCTTCAGTCTGAAATGGTGATCCTGCCTCCAGGAATCTCAAAATGAGACTGACTGAGAGCTTTCTCCTCCCTTTATAATCCTCTCTAGGGCTGGGATTAAGGGCGTGCAGCACGGTTTCTATGGCAAACTAGTGTTGCTACTAGTGGTGTGTGTCAGCACTGTCTGATCTGTAAGGCTGACCAGTTTGGCTGTTTTACTTTTCTAATACTCAGGTATGCTTTATTCAAATACAAATTAAATGCAACTACAAAAGAGCATATGCATGCTACTTTGATCATAGTATTTTGTTAGAGTTGTTCTGTTTAGTGATTATTGTTGTTAACCTCTTAATTGTTACTAATTTATAGATTAAACTCTTATCATAGGTATGTGCATATTGGGAATAAAACAATATATAAATGGTTTAGTTTAGTCTGCAGTTTCGGATATCCACAGAGAATTGTAGAGAATATCCCCCACAAATAAAGTACAGAGTGTGACTGAACATGTCTTGTTTTAACCTGTGTGGTTAAACGGGAGACTGCAGCTGGTCTGGAAGGAACATATAGAACTGGAGGCTGAACCTAGGGATAGGTTTAAAACAAAATCCCAAGAGAAAGGTATAGTGATAGAGCTAGGTCACAGGAACAGTACCTAGAGTATCAAGAAGGATTTAGTCTTGATGGACAGGGATCTTTCTATTATAGAAGTGTTGAAAAGGCATGGAGTGAATGTGATATACTGTAGAGGGAGAGTACCTTTCTCAGCCCTCATTTACTCTTTTTGTAGTTTTTAAAAACCTTCAGTAAATCCAACCACTTCTTTTTTTTTTTGTACTACTCCCCTCTGACTTCTTACCAAAGACTGCTGAAAAAAGTCACCTGATTGATGGACAAAACCATCATAGGTTTATGGTTTGCAGCTTCAGCCAGACATGGATTAGCAGGGCCAGAGCATTATCGACCTCAAAGAATATATACTGATTTGTGGTTAAGAATGGGGAAAGTTGTATTCTCTTTATAGGTAAGGTACAGGTTTGCACATAGTATATTATCACCAAAATATGCACAACACTAAAATTTTATGAGAGGTATAATTAGGAAACAAATATATCACAGTGATTTTTAGAGTTGGAGAGTCAATATGGAAGCAAGGATATAGGTGGTACAGTCCAGTACCCTCTGTCTGTACACATGACCTCTAATTTCCCAGGGGTATTTGAGTCTTTGCCCTTCTTAAAAACCTCCATGTTCTCCATCTTCTCTGTTTTCAGGCCTGTCTCTCCAGAATTTGTTCTAGAAGTTGGCTACACTTATCCCAGAAACTTTGTTTGTGCATCATCCTCTCTCTCTCTCTCTCTCTCTCTCTCTCTCTCTCTCTCTCTCTCTCTCTCTCTCTCTCCCCTCTCTCTATCCTCTCTCTCTCTCTCTCTCCCTCTCTCTCTCCTCTCTCTCTCTCTCTCTCATCTGAATGAGAAAAAAAAGTTGTCATCTTTTTTTCTTTCTAGTCACAGAGCAGCTCTTCCATATTACTCTGTCTCCAATGCTTTATTCACTGCCTTATTTCTTACTTACTCTGTGCTTGCTGAGCTCTATTCCACATTCACTAGGACCTGGCACAAATGCCTCGAACCAAATAGAGTAGGTTTCTTTCAGTAACTTATCTTTTCAGACCACTGACCACTGTGTGGTGGTACCTTTTGCACTTCAATGACCAAAATATCTCACAGAAACACTTAATCTCTGGCCTCCCTGTGTACCTATGTGAGTGAATCCTCGTGCATACACAAACACACACACACACACACACACACACACACACACACACACAGAGAGAGAGAGAGAGAGAGAGAGAGAGAGAGAGAGAGAGAGAGAAAATAATTTCTTATAAATATGCACTGAAGTGCTCTCATCATCCTAGTGAACTCTGCACCAGGAAAACTGACTGGCACCTGTACCATGCATACTCCTAGCTTGAAATAGTTTGTTTTTCCCCTTATCTTCCACTGTGTTATCTGTATTGGTGCAACAAAATTACAAACAGTATTTTCAGCAGCTGTTAGAATTAAAAGCTGGATTTGGAAGATGTGGGTGAAGAGCTGGTAGAGCGTTCTCTAGAGTAAAAATATGTTTATAGACGAGGACGAAGTCTGTCACCAGATAAAAGCAGCCTGGGGACCTTTCGGTGCAGAGTCATTCATCCATCTTCAAGGGACTAGAACTGTGGAATTGGTTTTTGGAGGGTGAGTGAAAACCTGGGCTAGACTTAGGAAGTCATAATATCAGTAAAGAGGGAATAAGGTTGCCTGGGAGAATGGGCAGAATGTGATGACTGAATATGAGAATGTGGAGACCTCAATAGGCTGCCGTGTTGTCTTACAGTGGTACGAAGGGGAGAGACAGGGTTCAGGAGATGGTGAGCTAAGTTGGGGATCAGTTTAATGACAGGTGCTTTTAAGAGAGCCATGTGACACCTGCACACTGGACCTGTCGTGCAGCAGTAAGGCTAGCTTGCAGGCAGATTTCAGAACCAATCACTAGGCAATATGGTAAGCTGCAGTGTTGCTTAAACTTTCCCCACCCCAGGTGAGGTGAATGAGTGTTTGTGTGATTCACTAGTAGGGATACAGTTTGGAATGCTAGAAATGTAACCTTTTAAGGACTGGAAAGGGAACCCAAGGAGAGATTTCTGAGTACTCACAGGATATCAAGACTGTACAGTAGGATTCTTAAAACTCAGATAGTAGTAAAAAGGAAGATGGATTGGCCAACCATGAAACATTCTCCAAATAGACCAGTAAGATACAGGTACAAATATTCCACCTATTGGTACTGAGGGCCTTTGTGGAGACAGTTTTCTTGTAGGATGGAAGTTGTCAGTAGCTTGGAATGGAGGACGAGACAATAGGGCCTCATGTACCCATTTCTATCTCAAAAAGCTGGACTGCAGCAGAAAAGGGGATTAGGCTAGGGGTACTGAATCACAGGAGAGATTAACTTACATATATTTGGACATTTGGAGTTTAATTGGGAATTGACAGTATCTTACTTAAGGTTTCTGCTGTGAAGAGACACCATAACCACAGCAGCTCTTATAAGGAAAACATTTAATTGGGGTGGCTACTGTAGTAATAAGGGCGGCGGCGGGGCTGCGTCCCCAACACCCCAGCCGCCTGCCCGGCTAGCTTATGCCCGAAATAACAACACACAAACTGTATTCATTTAAACACTGCTTGGCCCATTCTCTTCTAGGCTAATTCTCACATATTAATTTAGCCCATTTCTAATCATCTGTGTGTAGCACCCCAAGGTGCGCTTACCGGGGAGATTCTAGCCTAGTCCATCCTGGGTCGGAGCTTCATCCCGGGAGCGGGGCATGGCGTCTCTCTCTGAGGCGTCTGCTCTCTAGAGGAGAGCTGTCGAGACTCTGAGCTCACTTCCTCTTCCTCCCAGTATCCTGTTCTGTTTTCTCCTCCCACCTATCCTCTAACCAATAAAATGGGCCAAGGCAGTTCCTTTATTAGCTAATGACCAATGACCTTCCTCCATCAGGCTACCTTACAGTTTTGGGGTTCAATCCATTATCATCATGGCAGAGAGCATGGCAGCATACAGGCAGACATGGTTCTGGAGAAGTAGCTGAGAGTCCTACATCTTACAAGCAACAAGAAGTCAAATGTAATACTGGGTGGTATCCTGAGCATTGACACACTTCCTCCAGCAAGACCATACCCACTCCAACAAAGCCACACCTCCCAGTAGTGCCACTCAGATGATGGGACTAGTCACATTCAGGCCACTACAGGCAACTAGTTTCTTACTGGGAAAGGTCAGTAGCATAGTCAGAATTAGATGTAACAACGAATCTGTGAGTGTTAGCTTGAGGTGAGAAGGTCCTCAAAGAGTTGGGAAAGGAGGCATGAAATTTAGGGCAGAGTCCTGGGTAGAAGTAAAAAGAAGTCTGAGGGTGGTTATAAGTACAGATGATTGTCGGTAGGTATGGAAAGGAAGCTGGGAGGAAATCTACTGCAGATTGCCTATTTTTCTTTCTTTTTTTCTAGAAAGGTCATGATCTGGCCAACAGCACTCAGATCTTGAACAGCGAAATGGCCAAGGCACCAGCTGACCATAAGGATTAGACAAAAAGACCTGTGCACAGTTCCCCTAAGCATGATACTTCTGTGCTTTTCTAATGGCAAATAATCAGAAGCAGCACAGTAGTATTAAAGTTTTACCATATTATAATTTGCCTTGCCTGCTAGCATGTTAAACATATAATCACTATGTTAAATGCAACTTGTTTAACTGGTTCTTTTTTTTGTTTTTAGCTAGAAATCCTGTGCTCGGTCAACATTCTTCAGTTTATATTCATTGCCTTAAGACTGGACAAGATCATTCATTGGCCCTGGCTTGTATGTAGCTTTTTAAATCCTTAAACAAACACTTTATTATAAAAGTAATTCATATTTATTGCAGGAGACGTGTAAAAAACAAGCAAGCATGTGAGCAGCAGACTAATGATCACATATAACACCAGTGCTGGGGGCTAACATAGAGGGTTTTATTACCTTGTACATAAGCTCTTGAGGTTACTCTGTATGTAAGATTTTGTATCCTGCTCTTTTGTTTTAATGTAGTGTAAGCATTTGCTCAGATCAAGAAATTGTCATTGTAAATGTGACATTTAAGGCTTCATTGATTCATTAGTTGCATTTATGAAACATCTAGTTGCTGCTAGTACTTTTGATTTCAAAATGTTCCCATATGTATATATATTCTTAAATTTTCTGAATTTTTTTAACTGACACCCTAGTTACATTTATGGGGAAGAGTCTGACCCTTTATTGTATATTTATAATATGTAATAATTAAATCAGCTTAATTACCATATCTATTACCTCAGACATTTATCATGTTTTTGTGCAAGGAGTGTTCAAAATGTTTTTCTCTTTTAGCTGTTTTAAACTATTTAATTATTATCAATCATAATTATCCTGCTAGTCTATAAACATTACAAGAACTTTTTATCTCAAATCTCTGGTGTATTTTTGGCTATAAAAATCCTTGTTTAATATTTTACTGTTTTCTTAGAAAGTATTCTAGGAAAGAGTTACTGAGTTATAAGACAGAAACTTTTAAGAAATTTTTAAAGATTTTTTAAAGATTTTATTACTTTTATGTATATGAGTATTATATGTATGTCAGTATACCATATACCTTTAGTGGTTGAGGAAGCCAGAAGAGAGGTCATATGATTCCCTGGGGTTGGAGCTACAGATGATTGTGAGGCACCATGTGGGTACCATGTGTGCAAGACCAGCAAGCACTCTAATCCACTGAACCATTTCTCCAGCCCCAAGATTGAAACTTTTTAACAGATTCATTAACTATTGATATGTTTAGTTAGTGTATACAATAATGGGGTTAATTTTTACATTTTCATGTGTATATGTTATTCATTGTTGTTTGCCTAAGTTTGTCCCCATTACCCTCTCTTATTCCCCCATCCTGCTAGATCTTTCTCCTCTCCAAACCTATAACCTTTTACTTTTGTGTCATATATACATGTTTAAATCTAAATTCCACATATAAGAGAAAACATGTATTTGCCTTTCCTTTACCATGTTTTACTCTCTCTTGTCCCTACCTTAGACTCCTTCCTTCCCAACATATTCCCCATTTTTCTTTTCTTTTTTTTTTTTTTTGAATTTTCGAGACAGGGTTTCTCCGTAGCTTTTGGTTCCTGTCCTGGAACTAGCTCTTGTAGACCAGGCTGGCCTCGAACTCACAGAGATCCACCTGCCTCTGCCTCCCGAGTGCTGGGATTAAAGGCGTGTGTCACCACTGCCCAGCTCCCATTTTTCTTTTACTTTCCTGCCATGCATGTCATGTCATTCATTCATTCATACGCGCACACACACACAGACTTTTTTAATAATATGGAGTTGGATTGATGGCTTGGAAATAGCTCCTATTCCAGAGGATCTGTTGCCTTCTGGCCTCCATGGGCACTGCACAAACTTGGTGCACAGACATACATGCAGGTAAAACACCCCACATACATAAAATAAAAGTAAATCTTTTTAAAAAGAAAAGTGTAGGTTGGGTGGATACCTTTTGAGATTATTCATATACATACATTTTATGCTCCTGAGCAGTGAAGTTGTAAGTCATTCTTCTAAACCATGGCTTCAGTTAACACTTGGTTAAAAGTGAGTGTGTGGGTGGAGAAGATAAGATAAACATTGATAAACATCAGAAGATATGCACTAGAGAATACAGTATTGTTTCAAGTAGTAATAATTTAGAAAAGAAGATTGGGCTGTGGCTGTAGCTGTTTGTAATGTTTGCCTACCATGCACAAGGCCCTGGATTCATTCCGATTACTGAGTAAGCCAGGCCAGGTGGCACATGTTTGTAATATTAACACTTGTGAGGTATAGACAGGAGGATAAAAAATTCAAGGTTAGCCTTGGCTACATGCAAGTTCTGGGCCAACCTATACTACATGAGACTGTATCTCAAGGTGTTATACCAGTGTTTTAAATTTTGAATGGATTGTGTTTTCTTTGGTGCTTAATATATATTTGGTGTGTGTGTGTGTGTGTGTGTGTGGCCAGCCATCCACTTGTATATGTTAAGAAAAAAGGAATCTTGAATGCTTTCCACAATTAGGTAACAGGAACCTGATTCTTAACCCTGTACTAATCCAAATGAATGAAGCAGTCTTACTGCATGTATCTTATAATTGATAATAAAGCAAAAGAAGATATTAAAACCACTATCCTTCTATTCGTGAAAGAAGTACCAATAAATTAACACCATCACGGATGTACTTTAGAGGAGCTATTGGAAGCAATACATAGACAGACATTGTAACAAAACCTGTCATCAAGAACTCCAAGCTACTCAAGAGGCCTAAAAGTCATGAAACAACTCAAATCACATGTGTAAGCTGAAATGGCAATTATAGCACTGTTAAAAGAAAGGTGGGAAAAATTTTGAAGCCTGCAATTAAGTGAAGCATTCTTTATTAATGGCATCAATAATATGCTCTATAAGACAAAATTATAAATTTAGACTTCTTAAAATAAAGGAAAAGATAGATCACTGGCTGAGGAAAAGGTTTTGAAAGTACATGTCAAAACTTTGACTCAGTTAAAAAATAAAGACTTACTTATGTGTATACCCCATACATCCCCCCACACCAATACACACTAGTGATTGAGGAAGTGAGTTGCTGTGAAAATAAAGTGAAGACATGAGTACACGAGATTGCGTGAGTGAATGAAAATGAGACTGAGTGTGAGAGTGGGGGTGAGAAAGTGTGAGTAAATTTGATAGAATGCAAATGTGTGAGAGTTAGTTGTCCTGGAACTTACCATGTAAACCACAGAGATCCGCCTGACGAGTGCTGGAATTAAAGGTGTGCGCCACCACCCAGCTGAGGAAGAATTCTTATGTTGAGTAACTAGACAGAGGGAGAGATTGAGTAAGCATGAGGGGTTATTTGAGTAAAAGACTATATGAATGAGCGATGGGAGGAGGTAGGGATGTAAAAGAGGAAGTATGAAGAAGTGAGTGAGAGTGACTGAAAGCAAGGGAGTGTGAATAAGTGTGTGAGAGGAAGTGAGGAAGAGACAGAGTGGTTCTGGTGCTGAAAGCAGAAATGATTCTAGTGGTATAGAATGGACATGAGTGACAGTGGGGGAGAGAATTATATGAATAGCCAAGAATGAGAGAAAATGAGTGGACTGACAGAGGGTATGTAGAGCCAGCTAGGAAATATGAGGGAGCATGGCAGAGTAAATGATTGCAGACCTGAGGGAATGACCGGTGTGCATGATGGTTAAATATGGGATTGGGAGCATGTGTGTAATAGTGACCATGTTAGTGATGAGTTAGAGAGCAAGAGACCGGGGATGTGGTAATAAGTGACTGAGAGGAAGGAAGTGGGAGTGCCCGTGAGTGAAGGATTATGGGAGTGATTGAGAGAAGGAAGGGAGTGTGGGAATGACTGGGAGTGAGGAAGTTTGGGAGTGAGTGAATGACAAAATGAGTGACTTGAGAGGGAGGGAATTTGGTAAGAAAAACTTTAAAATATGCTGAAGTGGAGGTCCAACTGGAAGGTTGTTACCTGAAGGGAAGAGGGCCTAATGACAGCATTCCTGGACAGAAATCCCACGGCAAATGTGATATTTCCCATACCATCTCCATAGAAGTCCTAGACAGGAGGACTGTCTGTAGTCATGCTTCCCCTTGACTACCTGAACAGACCCAGCCAAGTGATAATGGTAGCTACTAGAGGCTACAGAGGAGCTCTGAAGACACTGTTTCTACTCCTCTGCAGGTCGTGTGTGTCCCTCTGTGGATCCTCATGTCCTTCTTGTGCCTGGTGGTCCTCTATTACATCGTTTGGTCTGTGCTATTCCTGCGCTCTATGGATGTGATTGCAGAACAACGTAGGACACATATAACCATGGCATTGAGCTGGATGACCATTGTGGTGCCTCTTCTTACTTTTGAGGTAACCTTTCTACAGGAAACTTCTTGTGCTCCCACACCCCACCCTTATCTGGGGCCCATCTGCCATAACTAGGTAGGTATACTGTGGTCTGTGTGGAGGACAGGAAGTTCAGAGTGAATTTAGGACAATGAGATATGCTTGCAGAACTCACAGAGAGCAGTACAACTCTAGATGTAAGGCATCTGCCCATGTTCACCTTCTACTTTCTGCAAGTGAGTGTTGGATATCCTGGTTTTGTATTGAGTTTGGTGGGGAATTCTAGACTAGATACTATTGATTCCTTTGAATAAACCCTGGGAGGAGTTTCTCATAAAACTTCTGGCAGTGGGAATCTTTCAGCTGGGTGGACTTTGACCCTGGGAAAGGATGCAAAATAGCCCATGGTCTTTTTCCCTGGATAAATGTTTTTGTGCTATTGCCTATGGTGGCCTTCTTTCTTCTCAGACATGGAGTAGGTGACATGGGGAAGGATTATAATGGGGACAGCTGCAGACTTGGTCTATTTACTGGTGACACATCAATAACACTTTGACTTTGTCTTTCTGTAGATCCTGCTGGTTCACAAACTGGATGGCCACAATGCTTTCTCCTGTATTCCAATATTTGTTCCCCTGTGGCTGTCATTGATCACACTGATGGCAACAACATTTGGACAGAAAGGAGGAAATCACTGTATGTCCATAAACTAAGACTCTCTCTCTCTCTCTCTCTCTCTCTCTCTCTCTCTCTCTCTCTCTCTCTCTCTCTCTCTCTGTGTGTGTGTGTGTGTGTGCGCGCGCGCGCGCGCGTGCGCGTGCACGTGTGTCTTCTGTCTGTGCATGCACTGTGCTTTGTGACATGATGAATCTCAGGACCCCAGTTTAGAAGTTGTTCTGGGTACTATAAAGATGAGGAAGAGCAGTAGTGCTCCTCAGAAAGGACATACTATCACATTTGCTTTGGGATGCTAGTCTGTATTATACCTCATTTGCAGTGCACACTACAGGGACAAGTGGAGGTAGAACCAGACATGGCAGGTGTCTCTTTGAGTTCTCATTCTATGCTCCTTAAAAATGGACTCTAGATTTTTTCAAGGTCCATGAAAAATCCATATCTTTCAGCAAAATGTCAAGAATCATCCCAGGTCCCTTTCTACCCATCTCTCCTCAATAGAATAGAATATTTTCTGTTTCATGGAGCTAGGCTACTCTGTCTTAATTAATATACTATGGCACGCACTTTGGAGGTAGTCTTTGGTTGGTGTACAAAAGAGTTCCACGATATTCTGGAATGGGGTATAAGAAAGGTTTATTTATTTGGGGTTAAACTCACAGAAAGGGTAGCAATTCACAGTCCTTTGCCAGTGCTGGGGACTGAAACCAAATCCAGTCACATAAAGCTGCACTATTTAGCCTACCTCACCATTTTCAACTATGAGCTCTGATTGGAGGCTGGAAAACCACCTTCCAACAGGGACTTGGGGATGCTACCACTACTGGCCTGTGGTCCCACTCTGAGAACTTTGGATGTGGAGATCTAAATCCCTCTGCATACTGGGCAATTAGATCCTGGTCAACCTTCACTTGTGAGGAAACTGAATGCAGTGGTATATAGTGCCATTAAAACTCATTGTTCAGGAAAGAAATGTGACATGAAACCCTAGTGTTTGAAAGAAAAAAATTCTTATTTTTCAGGGTGGTTTGGTATTCGCAAAGATTTCTGCCAGTTTCTGCTTGAAATATTCCCATTTTTGAGAGAGTATGGAAACATTTCATATGATCTCCACCATGAAGATAATGAGGAAACAGAAGAAACTCCCATTCCAGAACCTCCTAAAATCGCACCTATGTTTCGCAAGAAGACCAGGGTGGTCATCACCCAGAGCCCTGGCAAATATGTCCTCCCTCCACCCAAATTAAATATTGAAATGCCAGACTAAAGCACACCACCGGGGCTGGAGTGTGAGTGCACTGGAACGCACACTCCCACTTCCCTTGCCCTCAACCCAGGCCTAGAACTGCGGACCTCCATCTGAAGCCTTGTTTGCGTCCAGTGCCAAGCAGCCACTCATAACAGAACATAGGTGGCAGGAACTAAGGGTGTCTACCAATACGGATGCCAGTGACACATCAGAAAAAAAAAAAACCACTTCTTTCTGTATGGGTACCTGAAGTGTGTTCTCATTCCTGTGGTACCCACCAAGGGATAACTGCTGCCAAGACCTGCAGAAGCACATCTGTGGTCTTGGCAGATTTTCTAGTGCTAAATTTCTTTTAAAGTATTGGAAGATGTGGTTCTTATGGGACCACTTCCATTTGTGGCTCAACTGTGCTGCTATAGGTAGCCAGTGGGGACTGTAACTAGGTCTGTGCACACCTGTTGTGTTCAGATACAGTCCAACCTTGCTTTCCCTGTCCCTGCTGTACAGAAATTTCGCTTTAGGCAGGATGACAGCAGGTTTGCAGGGCTTCATCAGTGAGCCCTCCCCAATGGCATGATTCCATGCCTGTATAGTATTTATATAGCTATTTTAGCATTGTAATATACAGTATCAAATCCTAGTTCTGTACAGCATATTCTCTGTTAAAATATTTTTTTACAAGCTTGTGCTGGAGATGGTTAAGCCATGGTAGAAGCAGATGGCTCAAGTGTTTTGACCCAGACAGATCCCCCACCTTCACTTACCATGACCACCAATACCCTGGAGTCCATCTTTTACATATTAGCTGCTCCTGCTAGCACAGTTTCTATAAGTGAGAAGAGGTCTGTGCTTTTCCAACATGGGGGTGGGAGAATCAGCCTAAAATCCCAAGAAGTGCCCACTTGAGACCAGGGCACTGGAGAAGGTTGCCAAGGTAGAGCATAACAGCCAGGGACCTCTGTCCAAGTACAGAGAGGTGTGCCCATCTGCAAGAAAAATTCTACATGCTGGCTGGTACATAGATGCCCATCACCTGTCAGCAGTTTCTCCAGGTTCGGCTGGTATAGTCAGCCCCAAACCCACCATACAAGAACAATAATTTTTAGTCTAAATCAAATGATTCATTTCCCAATGGAAGTAAAGGGAGCATTGATCTTCTTGATCAGGAGGTGCAATGGATTTTGACAGTCACCTGATAAGTGGCTTCAGACACACATAATTGAAATCTCCTATGACCCTGATCCTACCACTGGCACAGGCCTCTAGCAAGCCTGTTCTGTTTCAGGAGAAACAAGGAACAGAGTGTAGCATTTTTTGCTTGGTCTGTTAAAAATGTGGCTAAATCCACTATTTTTGCTCCTGTAGTAGTTCAATAAAGTGGTTCATTTTACACATGTACTGTGTGTATTTCACTTTGTAGAGAAACTGGAGTTGTTCTTGCCCTGTGCCGAGAACATCATCTGGCTGCCACTGACAAGTAAAGCAGGCAGGTAGGGTGAGCATCCTTTACTGGGTCTCTTCAAAGCAGCAGTAGAGGGTATACAAAGGGAAAAACCACCTGCCATCCATTCATAGTGGCTTGATGATGACCTTCTGCCATTGTGGAAGCTTTGGATGCCTTCTAGACGGTTCCTAGGGTTTTAGAACACTCCAGCAATTGCAATGCACAGTTCTGTCTAGCTCTCTTAGCTGTGTCTGCAATTCAAAAGGAATTTTACTGGGTGGTCTTTCAGGTCATGGTTGACAGGAACTGACAGGAAAATCAAACAGTTGCTATTGGTGAGAAATACCCTGCATGTAACCAGAGATCAGGCATGAATTCTTGAGCTTCGTGGATTTCAGAAAATGCCTTGTTCAGTCAAAGCAGTAGCTGAGATTCACCTGCCAGGTGCTTTGCTCCTGTTTTATGAACCAGCAGTTCTCTGCTCCCTGTGAGGAAATTAAGAAATTTCTGTTCCTATTGCTTCAGCCTACTGCTCCCAAAGGCCTGGGACTCTGGGGTCACTATGTGAACACTGTGGAGATTTTGTTTATTGTAACACGAATGGGGCCTGCTTGTTGGGGTTTCTGTCCCGCCCGGTACCCCACAGCTGGCAAGCCCCAAAGAAAATCACACAGAGATCTCTATAAGTTATAAAAGCTGATTGGCCCATTTGCTCAGGCTACTTATTAGCTCTTGTAGCTTATATTAACCTATTATTCTGATCTATTTTTGCCATATGGTTCGGTACCTTTCTCAGCAGGGCAGCTCACATCTTGCTTCTTCAGAGTCTGGTCAGGAGTGGGAGGAATCAACTTCCTCCTTCCCAGAATTCTTCTGTTCTCATTGCATCATTTCTACTCCCTGTCTGGTTTTCCCGCCTATACTTCCTGCCTGGTCAATCAGCGTCTATTTACAACATGATTGACAGAATACAGACAATTCTCCTGTACCAGTTTATTCTTGGAAATGTCTGAAGAGAGGTAGTTCTATGTGGAAGGACAATGGGTTATCAAAGCTGCTTTGACTTGTCATCTCTGCTCACCTCTCCGCACCACACCCCAAATGAATAATCGATTGCATAGATCAAATGTGGGTACAAAACCCAACCCACATCTTTCTTGATATGTTTCCTGGTCAAGGGAATTGAAGTTAGCTGTGAGGCTAACTGCCAGGTTTCCAGTCCTTTGCAAAGACCCAGTAGTAGTCTATGTTTAGGAGGGGCACATATGTAGGCTAAAGGGATTCAAGAAGCAGGCCACCATTTCCTTTTCTATGAACTGTGACACTAATAGATAGCTAATGCTCATGTCTAAATAGCCATCTGTCATTTCTCTCCTGGTCAATAGCATGATGAGCTTTGTCAGGAGGGTCTTTAAATTTCATGCTACCCCCTATTTGTGTGATGATCAAAAGAAACACATTATTGTAGCTGCATCATTGTTCACCATGCTTGAATTAACAATGTTTGACAAGCATCAGTGTGCAAGGAAGGGCATGTGGTCTATGGGTTCTGACCAGGAGCCTTGTATTTCTTAACCATTACATTCCTATGATACTGCCAAACTTGAAGAGTGTTAAGACAAGGAGGCATTCCATGGATTGTGCTTAAAGTTTGGTGTATCACATTAAACAGCAAAAGACACTTATGTTGTATTTTTCATGATAACTGTGGAGCAAATGTTCACATGATAACACATCTCTTGTCTAGCCAGGACATTTATGAAGTGACTGACTGGATATGTTATGATGCCCCTCTCTCAGGAAACCTGCAGTCACTTTATGATGCCTTTGGCAATATCCTGATCAAGAGTGCACTATCCACATTGCACTCTCTTGTCTACCTCACCCAAAGGTAGGCCATCACTAAGTATGGCCAGACATGAGGAAGATGATCTAAGAAGCTAGGGACTAGTTTGGGGTTTGGAAAGGTACTTTTTCCTATATATACAAGGGACCCGAGGATAAACATAAAAATACTGGAGAGGAGAAAGGCCTCTCCAGCTAGGCCTTCACTCAGGATATTACCATTTCCACTCACTGAGCCAGACCCTAATAGCTCTGCAGATTCCAAGACAAGGCTTAATACAAGAGTCCTTTGGAGTAGAAGTAGAATAATGCCTTCCTATAAGTCTATCTCTTTTGTGGGTTGCATTATTGGGGGTACCTTTTTCTGGCCTAGGGCTTTATCCTTTATTCATCGTCATGTTCCCCCCACAGATCCAGTGTTCTCTCTCTCCCCCCCTCTGTTTGTGTGTGTGTGTGTGTGTGTGTGTGTGTGTGTGTGTGTGTGTGTGTGTGTGTCTGTATGTTCCGTTAACCTCAGAAAAGAGGCAGCTGTGAGAATTCCTTCCTGAGAGAAATACAACTCCCTCTTCATAAAGTTCTAACAACAAATTGTCCTGTGATTTCAACATAGTTCACCCTGGGTATATAATGAGGTTTTGTTTTGTTTTTGTTTGTTTATTATTTTCTATCCTGACCAGTTTCCCCTCCCTCCTTTCCTCCCAGTTCTTCCCCCACTCTCCCTCTGTCCCCACACCCCCAGTCCACTCCTCCATTTCTGTTCAGAAAAGGGCAGGTCTCTGATGAGTATCTATAAAACATGGCATATCAAGTTGCAATAAGACTAAGCACCTCCCCTTGTATTGAGGCTGGGAAAGGTGACCCAGTATGAGGAGTAGGGTCCTAAAAGTCAGTAAATGGACCACAGAGATAGTCCCTGTTCCCACTGTTAGCAGAAGAGGGACAGAAAGGATTGTAGGACCCAGAGGCGTCATGGACACCACAAGAAAACCCACAGAGGTCCAGACGCACAGAGGCGGAGAGGCGCGGCGTCCAGACACGGCGGAGAGGCACCACAATCAGGAAGAGGTTTTGGGGGACCAGTGTGGTGGCAGACGCAAGCGGTGGGGACCGGCAGGGAGGCAGATGCAAGCGGTAGGGACGGGTGTGCAATAACGAGAGCAGATTGCCCTACTACAATTAAATCAAAGAGGTAGGCCTTTTGTTTGCGAGGTCACTGGCAAACGGGGAGCCTGGTCCTCTCCTGAAGACCCTTCGGAGGGCAGAGAGGGTTCTTGGCCTGCGGCAGGAACCAGGAAACAGAGCGAGGGCATTTTGTAAGCAGAGCCCTTGGCCAGCAGGGAAACCTGATCCGGTTTTTAAAAGACCTATTAGATAGGATCAATAGGAGGAGATGGGCAGGCGCCAAGGCAAGAATTCACCCAATAATCTGAAAAACAACATGAAAACGCCAGAACCCAATGATCTTACAACAGAAGTATTTGAACAACCTAACACAGAAGAAGTGGAAAAATTGACTTTATGAAAGCAATAGAGTCCCTTAAACAACATGTAAAAAACACCCTTATAGAAATGGATGAGAAGTATAACCAAAAGTTAGAAGAAATGAGTAAATACGTACATGATACCCTGGGAAACCAAGAAAAAACGATCAAACGGGTAATGGAAACAGTTCAAGAATTGAAAACTGAAATGAAGGCAAGGAAGAAAATACAAACTGAGGACCAGCTGGATATGG